GTGTGTGTGTGTGTGTGTGTGTTTTACTGAGGATTGAACTGAGCCCAAGGGTGTTTTACCACTGAGCTGCATCCCCAGCCCTATTTGTTTTGAGACAAGGTCTTGCTAAATTGCTGAGGCTGGCCTCAAACTTGTGATCCTCCTCCCTTGACCTCCCTAGTAGGTGGGCTTACACACACCACCTCTAGCAATGTTTAACTTTTTAAGAAACTGCCAAATTCTTCTCCAAGGTAGTCTCCTCGTTTTATATTCCTATCCACCAACAGTTCATGATAGCTGCTCTCCAGAGTCACCAATACTTTGCATGTTCAGTCTTTAATTTTAGCAGTTTTCATAGGTATGTGGTGATGCTTCATTGTAGTTGTGAAATGTATGCTTCGTATGACTAATGATATCAAGCAGCTTGTCATGTATTCATTTACCATTTTGTATTTCTTCTTTACTAGGTTGTCTGGTCAACTCTTTTGCCCACTTTTAAAACTGGGGTTGTTCACTTTCTTACTGTTGAATTTGAGAGTTCTTTATATATCATGGGTAGAGTTACTTTATATGTTTTGTGAACACTTTTTTTTTCTGTGCTAGGAATCAAACCCAGAGGCTCATGCATGCTACGCAGGCACTCTCCTAGTGAGCTCTCCGTGCCTTATATCTTTTGAAGGTAAGTCCTTCTTGGAAGGAATTCACAAACTGACTCAAAAATTCATATGAAAATGCAATATACCCAGAATAGTCAAAAAGAGGAACGCAGCAGGAAGCTCAATGGCCAACATTATCTGCTTTCAAGACTTAGTATGAAGCTATAGTAATAAACACAACATGGCTGTGCATAAAAACTAGTAAGCAGAAGAATGGAGCAGAATTTAGAGGACAGATAGAAGGACACCTATATACAATGATTTTTGRCAAAACTGCAAAGGCAATTTAATGCAAAAAGAAGTTTTTCAACAAAAGTTTCAGGAACAACTGAATTAAAATATGCAAAAGTATCAATATCCACCCATATCTTGCCCCACATACAAAAAAACCCCTCCAGAATAAATCATAGACCTAAACATAATACAGAAAACAAGGACCAGAAACCTGAACATAGGAGAAAATCTATGCCACCCTGAATTATAAAAAATCTGTTAGATGTAATACCAAATGCCTGATCTATAAAAGGACACACTGACAAACTGGACTTCACCAAAATTTAAAACTTCTGCTCTTGAAAGAGATGAAGTGAATATAAAGACAAGCCACAGACTGTGAGATAATATTTACCAAAAGCAACAAAAATGTTAACATTGCCCACTTACTATGTGACATTCACTCAACAGAGGCCACTTAAGTGTGTGTGTGTGTGTGTGTGTGTGTGTGTACTGAATAAGCACCTTATGAAGTACATATAATTTTTATTGTAATTGAATAAAGGTACAGGTGTTTAGGAAGCTACTTTAATGATATAAAAGTAACTAGCAAGGAAGCCAAAATTGGAGCACAGACTATCTATCGACTTCAGAACCTAAACTCTTCATGTCTCCAAGGTAAAACAAATGCCATTTTTCCTTCCTTTTTTTTTTTTCCAGCCTGAAGAGGACTTTTTAAAACATAGCTACATCTTATTAAACCAGACTACCTTTGAAACCTCCTGGGATGGGTATTTTGGGGGGCCATGTCTAGTAGGCCACACTGAATTTACAACATCCTTTTTCTGTAAGCCTTTTTTGAAAGACTGAGCAAACTAAGAGGTGATCAGTGTTGCCAGCCTGGACTTAGCAACCTAAAGGAGGCAGGAGTGAGTTTGTATCAGCACTAGTGCTTATACAGCAGCCTTGAGCTCCAGTTCCCACATTGCCCAACTTACTCTTTGGAGCAAGGGCCATTCCGGCTGTAGAGTACAGAGTGGTTTCTTATGCCCCAAAAGAATGTGTGTACCTCCTTCACCACCCACTTACACCTACAGAGTGACCAAGGTATGGAACACATGTTTTTCTGTAGGTCTGAGCCCACCCACTATTCCCCACCAGTCCTTGAAGAAGAAAGTATCCACTCCTAGAGACATCAGGCTGAATTGCCCCGTATGCTTGGGTACCCCTGTATAGGGTAAACAGAGTGACTGTGAAATCTCAGAGCCTGGGTGTCGCAGATCTGCAAGGGTACGGCTGGCATTTAGAATGCTCCCCAGGTAGCACTGCAGATTTCTTTGTCCTGGGAGGGGTGTGTATAGGACCCTGGTCACAAGGTTTCCTAGTGCTCCTTCTATGCATGTTTCACCCCAGGCCCACTGAGGTGAATGTGAGGGGACCTAGAATGTCCATTGTAATGAGCTCTGGGCCAGCCCACCTCATTTTCACAAGCRCAAGTAAAACACTTTGATATTAAGCAAGAGCCACAGGTAAACTAAACGTCTTTCTCTGAGCAGTAGAAATAATGTGGCTTGCACGGTTTATTCAAAACCTGGTAACTGCTGAATGAACTCTGTTTTGAACTCTCAGTGCCAGGAGTCTTATGATTTCATTGTTTTTGACATCATGTCAGTGCCTATGGCTAAGAAAACAAAAACATTCAGCGTGTAGCCTCTACTATTCTCTAGTTTCATGGGTCAAAAAGGACAGGATCATATTCTTATTCCTACTATATAAAGTTTTATCCTACTCTGCTGGCAGAATTTGGAGATCACAGTTTTCCTGGATGTTCTTGATCCAGTGGCTAAGACAAATCCTTTGAACTCCCTTCTCCCACAGAAAGTCACCCTAACTTTCAGTCAGACACAAAAACCACCTCCATCAAAACTTGAAACTGTGGCATTTGGCACTGACCACACCCAAGGTGCGGGTCTCTTTGAGATCTAGCAAAATCCAAAATGATAAATATGGTTGTTCCTTTGTGTCACATACTTAAAACTTAAATTTTAATCAAGTTAGGATATACAAAATTTTAAAATATGGGTRTGCCCTGGACACATTCACATACTTAAATTTTGAAAAATCTTGGGTTTTTCATTTGGAAGCAGATTTTAAATTCTATCTATATACAAGAAAAATCATGGAACAAAAACATCTGTACATATATCCATTTATCATTATCATCTGTGCTGATATGACAGGCTCCAAGAAAATAGCTTCCACCCACTGGGGCTCCCTCACCCAGCTATCTGTCTAAAATCACAGTATTCTCTCTGTGTATATTTATATTACTCTACAAATGTATAAGATTAGGCCTGGTTTGAGAAGAAAATCCTTCTTTTGACTTGTATAATTCTGATTTTCTTGATAAATGGAGACTACCCTACACAGGCACGTAAGTAAAYGAGAGTGTCATTTGCTTCTAAACAAATATTAGAGGCAGCAACGAATGAGGTAAGGAGGTTACTGCATCTACCTGTGAAGCCAGTATTAAATAGCTGCTCTTCCTTCATCAGGAAAAAGGAATGTGCTCTGGGGAAATAGTGCAATTGTCATAAAGTAGCCACATGGTGAAACAAAATACTTGTCTTCTGCAAGTATTTCAGTTCTGGGAAGGGAGGCAGACAGGAAGAAAACCAAGTCCACACAGGGGGTAGACCCGAAGAAATGAGGTCCACATCTCTTTCTCTCAATTTTCAATGAAAATGAAGGCAGCAATCCATGCCATGTACATGAAGGAAGAAAATTCTTGGGATAATTCATCTCCAAGCGTGTCTAAAGGTGGGAGGGTTTGCAGGGTGAAGCCACTCAAAATTCATTTCCCCACTAACTAAGAGTTTTTATGCTCATTTCTCATCTGAAGGGCTTAATTATTTCTTGAAGGGTACACACAACACCCCACCAGAGTTCATTGTGCAGTTTAATTTTGAACCCTTGAAGGACAGCTTTTCCGTTAGAAATCCAACACAAAAACGTCCTTAATGAACAGGCGTGTTTTGCAGGGTGGGGCCCAAGCAGGATCTCAGGACTGGAAGTGTGAATTTTATGCTTTGTTGCCAAAGGAGACTGTGGACATTCTCACCACCTTATTTAAAGCAGGATACGCTAATGCGTGAAGTGGTGCATTAATGGCCTAAATTAAGTTACAGGTATGAATTTTACATAAAACGGATTAATATTATATGTCATAGCAGAATTTTAAATACTCCTTGTCCATGCATTTTTAATCTTTACGCGCTCTAATTTATGTACAAGACAATTGCATTTCCTTAGCCCACTTATGCATCTAGATGAGTAAAAGAAAAACCCCTGACGGTTTTGTTTTATTTATATTTTCCTTCACCAAAAAAACCTGCATTCGATTCGGCTTTCTCTTTTCTTTTGCTAAGCTTTAGCGTTAAAAGAAAGAAAGAAAGAAAACGGAAGGCTCCACATTCCATTCCATCATTATGGTTTCAGCAATTGTGAAAAGGCGAATAATGAAACGGAGGGGGAAATACGGAACAGAACGAACGTGCCTTCTAGAACAGCGCGTCTTTCTTAAGGCACTGGAATCCCAGGGATGGAGTGACGGGTGGCGGAGGGACCCTGGGCCGCGCCGTTGGGAGTAGCCGGGAATCCGCGAGCCGGGCCCAGCGCTCCCTCGGCAGCCCGGGCGGGAGGAGAGTGAATTCCAGCCGCACATTCCCGCAGTTCTTCGCAGGAACTTCTCTCGCGTCTCCCCTCCCCTGGGCACACACCAGCCTGGCCCGACTCCCACCCCGCTCTCTTTTCTCAGAGCCCCGACCCACGGCGTTGACGGAATGGACTGCCCTTCCCATTGGCCCGAGCGTCATTCCCTGAGGTGGCACTGCCCTCCTGATTGGCTGGCCACTCCCGACTCCGCACCCCTCCCGCCGCTCGGGTTGCCCGGCTCCCCGCCTCCTAGCACCGCCCGAAGCCCCCACCCTCGCCACCTCCCTCAGTGCACCAGCCTGCGCGGGACCCAGATCCTCTCCAGTTGTGTAGCTACCAGGCCCGCGCGCTAGCCCCGCCCCCTGGGGACGTGGCTCAATAAAGACAGCTGCACTGCCGACAGGGGGAGAGCGCAGTGGAGGAGGCGCGGTAGTGAGTCGGTGCCGGGAGCGGGGAGCTCTTGGGCTCGGGGAGCGCGGCGGCGGCGGCGGTCCGGCTGAGTCGCAGCTCCGAAGGGAGTAACCAGGGGGCCCGGGTGGGCTACTTTTCGACCGGTACTTCCGATTTTTCTTGTCTTTTGGTTCGGCCGAGTGTCGCCCACTGAACAGAGATTCCCCTCGCAAAACCTGAGCGGCCTTTCCATCAATTGTGGGGGCTCGGGATCGCCGGGAGCCCCGAGCGCGCCGGGCGCGAAGGCAAGGGGAGAGGAGCCGGCCGCAGGCGGGGGCCCAGCGGAGCTTGCGGACCTCCCTCGCTCGCCCCAGCCAGTCCTTTCGCGCAGGGCGCAGGGCGCGCGCGATGAAGGCGGTGAGCCCGGTGCGCCCTTCGGGCCGCAAGGCGCCGTCGGGCTGCGGCGGCGGGGAGCTGGCGCTGCGCTGTCTGGCCGAACACGGCCACAGCCTGGGAGGCTCCGCCGCCGCGGCGGCCGCGGCGGCGGCAGCGCGCTGCAAGGCAGCCGAGGCGGCGGCCGACGAGCCGGCGCTGTGCCTGCAGTGCGATATGAACGACTGCTACAGTCGCCTGCGGAGGCTGGTGCCCACCATCCCGCCCAACAAGAAAGTCAGCAAAGTGGAGATCCTGCAGCACGTTATCGACTACATCCTGGACCTGCAGCTGGCGCTGGAGACGCACCCGGCTCTGCTGAGACAGCCACCGCCGCCCGCGCCGCCGCACCACCCGGCCGGATCCTGTCCGGCCGCGCCGCCGCGGACCCCGCTCACTGCGCTCAATACCGACCCGGTGAGAGGCCCGGTGGCGGCTGGGGCCCACGCCACAGGGGGTGCAGGAGGGTGGCGGCAGGGTGGCGGGAAGCGGGCGTTCCCTCTCTTTGGAGTGGGGGCCGGCCSAGAATGACAGTCCCCAGCTCCTTCTCCAGGCACCTGGGGCCGCCTGCTGCCGRCTAGCCGGAGAAGCGCGGATCGGGGAGGACGCGCGGGGCAGGACTCGGGCTGCGCGACCCTGTGCTGTCAAGTCCGGCGGAGGGGTCTCCCCGGCTGCAGACTGGGTGGGGGCTCAGCGCGCGAGCTCGGTGTCCGAGGGCGCCCAGGACCGTGACGAGTGCGTCGTTTGCGCCTGCTAACCTTTCCCTTGGTGTTCGGTTGCTGTTCCAGGCCGGATCGGTGAACAAGCAGGGCGACAGCATTCTGTGCCGCTGAGCCGCGCTGTCCAGGTGAGCGCGCCTCTCCCGTCTCGGGTGGCAGATCCCCAGAGACGCCCTTCCCCGGGGGCTTCCGGTGCCAGGCTCCGCGGTGTTCTGGGCCCGCGGCGTTTCTGAGTGTAAACTCCCGAGGAAGTGAACGCTCCTCTCCGCCACCCAGTTAGCGGCGGACCTGCACGTCGCTTTAGAACCGGGCTGCCCTCTGAAGGGACACTAGTCCGCTCTCCTCCCGGCGTCCCCGGGCCTCTCCGGTGACCGGCGGGCTCGCCCTGTCCTCCCTGCACCTCTAGGGAAGGCACCCTCGGGGCATTGGACGCCTCCCTGGCTCCCCAGCGCAGCCTGACACCCGTAAAGAGGGGCGCGGGCAGGTCGGCGCTCCGGCTTCCAGAGGCCCGCGCTACCTCCCCGGCGCCGCGCCGCCCAGGGCTGCGGTGCGGTCTGACCTGGCCGTTTGTTTGGGTTGTTGATCGAGCACGTCTTGAGTTGGTCGGTGGCGCCAGCAAGTCTGCAGCGGGGAGGCTCACACACCCCTCTATTCATTCCTCTTCCACAGGTGTGCAGCCGCCTGAGCCCAAGCCAGGAGCTCTAGAGAGGGAAGAGAGGGAGGGGGAAGAGCAGAAGTTAGAGCAAAGCCACGGAGGAAAGGAAAACACATCAGCAAATGTAGAAACGTTTCACTCGTCATTCCAAGAGAGGGACAGGAAAGAAAAGAAAACTTTCACTTTTTTTTTTTTGCACGTCCATAAACATTCTACATACCTATTCTCTNAGAAAAGAAAACTTTCACTTTTTTTTTTTTGCACGTCCATAAACATTCTACATACCTATTCTCTTTTGTCTCTTCATTTATAACCGCTGTGAATTGTACATTTCTGTGGTTTTTGGAGGTGCAGTTAAACTCTTAAGTGTGACAGGACTGATAAATAGATGATCCAGAGTAAATCCGACTTTAGAAGGCTACTTTGTGACCAAGGAGCTCAATTTTTGTTTTGAAGCTTTACTAATATACCCCAGAGCATTGTAGATATATTTTTTTTTTACATCTATTGTTTAAAATAGATGATTATAACGGGGCAGGGAACTTTCTTTTCCCTGCAAGAATGTTACATATTGTATAGATAACTGAGTGACATTTCATACCATGTATATATAGAGTTGCTCTATAAGTGTGAGAAAGTATATGCTTTAATAGACTACTGTAATTATAAGATATTTTTAATTAAATATTTTTTTGTAAATATTATGTGTGTGTTTTTTTTAATCTGTGGGAATACTTGTTTTGGAAAATGATTTTTCAGCTCAGTTGCAGAGCTCTTGATATCTTGAATGTCTTTTCTGTTTGGCCTGGCTTTTAATTGTTTTTTGTTTTGCCCAGTATGGAAGACGCTGAAGTAGCAGTTATAGGTAGTGGTCTCGCATGACTGCATGAGATGTTTAATCACAAAATAAACATGTTCTGAGTCCATTAAAATGTGTTTTCTTTAACCTACATTGAAATCTTTGTGTTTGAAGTGTACATGTTGAAAATATACCTTATCAGCTTTTAAGTACAGGGTTTTATAGTGTAATATATAAAGAGTAAGTGTTTTGTGTTTTTTTTTTAACTGAGGTCAAAATGGATTCTGAATGATTCTACATATAGGATGGGAAATGCTTGGATCCTTAAGGAGTTTACAAAATCTGTTTTATCAAAGTGAAAAAAAATTGCTTGTCACTCTTCATTTTACACTAAAGCATAATGTCATGAAGTTTCATATATGTACAGATTATTTAACTCAGAAATGAAAAATGTTCTCTGCTTGCTACCAAAGGACACACTCTTGGAAATGATCATTTTCTGCTTTCCTTCCTCCAAAGAATATTAACAGTGAGAGAGAAAAAAAAAAAAAGGCATAATGGCAAATCCTTCAAGCAGGGATAAAAGTCGATCTTCAAACATTAACTTAAGTAGACCAAAAATTCTGATGACCGCATCTAGATTATTTTTTTATAAAAATGATTTTCACTATAGCTATGTCAGTTACCGCAAAGCTACTGTCCAATCTCTTGTGATGTGTAACTTTTACATGTGAAAATTAAAGTAGATTTATCCGTCTTGTACTGTGATTTCTGGTCTCATTTCTTTAAAACCTTAAAACTTATTTTTAAGGCCCTTCTCCTCAAGGAAGGTATTATTTTTTAGGTTAGATAGGCCCGTCAGGGTTTGAGAATGTTACGCACTTAATGTGATGGGTGCTCTACACACCAGTTAGATGGAATTGTTAGAGTGAGAGAATTAAGTAGGATTTAATTGGGTGCTTTGTAAATAGTCAACTGTGTGTGTAACGTGGTCTGTTTGATTTTTAAAAGGAAAGGATTTGTTTCAGATTATACAAGAATAAAAGTATTAAAGACCCAAGGGACTTTTTATGAGGTCAAAGTCAAATATTTATATGAATATGAAACATCATGGTCCCTAGTAGCTGAAGTGGTAGTGTCTCTGCAGAAATGAACGCAATCAGTGCTAGGAGGTTAAAACCCATTCGGAGGGTTTAAAAATCTGTCCACTCCCAGCATGTTTTATCCCTCGGCTCTGATATTTTCCTGGTCTTGGGTATTTTTAGAATTTGACATATTTGATGTTGAACCTTATGAAATCAAAGGACTGCTTGTTTAGGTGAGATTTATGTTTATTTTTTATATTATTCATTCTTGTCACACATCAAGAGGAAAACACTAGGCACACTGCTGGAATTCCAAATCTAAAGAATTCTAACGATTGCATTCTTTGTTATTAAGAAGGGCACAATTCCTCCTTTTTATTTGGCAGTTTAATTTCAGTAGGAAGCATGTCACATGTGCAATGTTGGTTGGAGTTGAGTGTTTATCATGCCCGGCTGCTGAACCCTACCTAAGCCTTTGAGCAGAGTTTGAAACTCATACTGGTGGCCGCTGAGTCTCAAAACAAATAGACAGATTGGGGGAGAGGGGGTTGAACATAGAGGTTGCCATTTGAATTTGTATTGGGGCATTAAAAAACACTAAAAGAAAGGAAAGTGTTCTGGATATAATATTTCAGAGACTTGACATTTTCCCCTTGGCTACTCAAGCAGCATTGGAAGTCTCTAAAGAAACAAAGTCTTTGTTAATGAAATAACAAAAAACACTATATACAGTTGTATAAGATAGTGCATTCTATTAAAATGCTGGCTGTGTCCTAACCAAACAACCAGATAATAAAAAAAACATTTTGTCTCTTATCTAGGTAGGTCTAATTATTCAGATATTTAGTTTAACAAAGGAAAAACTCCTGACTTTTCTTAACTTGTAGACTTTCATTGTATAGGCACAACCAAAGAGTAAGAGTCATTTGAAACCCTGGAAAGAAAGTAAATACCCCACACAGTGGATATTGCTTCTAAGGTTGGTATAAAATCCTCACATCTCAAACATCTTATGGTAAAGCTGGAAAGAAAAAAATACCTTTTCATTTCAAAGAACTCATATACTCTGCTATTGTATAAATCCTACTAAACTTTATTGTAAAGCTTTAACTGCATCTTTAGAACTTTTAAGAATTTTGAATCCCCAAAACCTATTGTATTAGATGCCTTCTATGACAATAAATCTTCACTGAGCAAAAGGTTCTGAAGTTTGTGGGTTTTAATTGACTTTTACTGAGTTATGTGATTTTTCATTATCAAGAATGGGTCTCTTGATGGATCACCTCAATTATTTACAGCGTTTCTTACCATGTGATGAAAAATGGGGCTCAGAAAGGGTGTCTCCTTTGAAAGGGAAAAAGCTGCCCTACTCTTCAGTGGCTGCGAGGGCAGGAAGCAGTAGCCTCAAGAAAGCGCAGGACGCTGTCCAGGGGAAACTAGGCCAAAACCCCAAAAGGTACATAAGGGAGAGGAGAGGGAACTGTTTCACAGTAGTGCACAGCCAAATAAAACTGGCCTTGCCTKTCTAGTTGGCACACTTGAATCACATCCATTTTAATCAACGCAGTTATTCCTGGGGTCTCAGCAGGGCCCCACCCCACCCCCTGCAGCCTGCTGAGGAAGGAAGCCCTTCTTCCACTGCTCTTCCTAGGCCCAGAGTCATTGGCCGGCTCCAGAGGGAATCCTTCTAGGGCTGCCCTCAGTCGGTGATCGTCAGACCCGACGGTTTCTTGCAATTATAACCCATGACATTCTGCTAAAATGTTATTAGCTTTACGGATTAGAACCATGGTCCATTACATTTTAGAACTGTGATTTTACTTTCTCTACCTGGAGCCCTGACTCAGTCCATCCTTTAAAAGATTAAACCAACCAACCAACCGACAGACACAAACAACTTGACCAGAGGGAGCCCACTTCCTCTGGGGAGACAGCCTGTGGTCTTTAGACTTAATTGAAAATGCTCRGAATTTTCAGTGAAGTTTCACAAAGGTTTTGTGTTTGAGGGCCTCCTTTACACTGTGATTCTGGCTCCTTCTACGGTTTCCCCCCTAAGCGCTGAAACCCAGGTAACCCATATCGCCAAGGGTTTTCTCACCCACCCAAGCAAAGCAAGCCAGCGCCAGCCGTGGGGCTGAAGTCAGTCCCTCCTTCTGAGGCGCCTCCAGGGACGTGGAAAGAGCGCTATGAAAACCCGAGTTCATTTCAAAGTCCCTCTGAGTCCATAAAAGGGGACACACCTCAGGATCCGGGAAAGAGGAGCAAAGTGTGTTGCTGTGTTCCTCTGGCTGGTAGATAGCTAAAGAGGAACTGAACTTAAAATGTTTAAATAAAGAGAACCAAGACATATTTTCTACATGAATCCACTGGTATCTTTTTTTTTTTTTTTCCTGGAGAAGAAAGCTCATACTATAAATAGGAACTTTCTAAGAGATTATGTAAGTATTGGTAAAATATTCAARTTCATGGGTAAATGAGAGGCCATTATAGGCTTTTGGTGACTGTTTCTCAATTGTTTATGACATAAAATACCCACCTGCACTTTTGAAATGCATGTAATAAAATTGATTTTTCAAAATT